GAGACACTCAGGTAGGATTGGACCTGTTAGGGTTGCAGGATCTTTTGGAGACCTGTAGATTTGACTCTTTTCCCCTGTCATTAGTTATTCTAAGCCAAAAGGAGGGTTTTAGAGGCAATAAGGGTTGTGCCAACGGGCTGCTCTCCTGCTGTTGCCATGAGGATGGTAGAGCTGCTGCCCAGGGTGAACATCACACTGTGTGTGACACGCAAGGATTCTCCAGTGGCCACTTCAGCAGCATCTCTGCCAGCACAGCCTTGGCTGGACCATGGGCTSATCCACACCTCCGGCTTGTCTCAGACCTAAAAGATGTTGCTTTAATCCCAAATGCCTTCACCTTGCAGCTGAAGTTGTGCCAGGCCAGCCTGGGTTTCCTTCTTTCTCATGATGGTTCTTCAGAGCTCAGACTTCCTTGTTATCTATTGGGTRAACATAATGTGTACAAATACAGTTAAAACAGGCTGCCTTTCTGGAGCTGTTACCTGATTTCTTTTTTTTTTCCCTCAAGGGAGGAAAACAGGAAGAATTAGTATGCAGCTTCTTCCCCAATAAATCAATGTGATCTCACTCACTGTGAAGTTCTCTGACTCGGTTAGACATAGCACACTGGTAAAAACTAATCCCTGGAGCAGAAAAAAAAGAAAGAAGGAAGAAAAGACATTTCAATGGCTGCCCAAGACTGATTTGTTGCTCAGCTCCTGCCAGTGCTGCAGTTTGCTTGGAAGTCCCGTAGTGGAGAGGGCTGGGCAGTGGATTCAGTCCAGCTGTACATCACACAGCTTGAAATTAGCTGTGATTGTTAATTCTAATCAAAGCTGTTGCAGGGGAAAAAAAAAAGTAATCAAGGCACTTTGCTTTCAGAAAAGGATATTTCAGCTAAATGAAAAATTTTGTTTTTGAAAAAAAAAGCAAAATGTTGAAAATTTTGAAACAAGCCATTTCAGTATTTTCAAGATGAAAAGAGATATATTTTTGTTGAGAAATGCCTCATCAACTCAAATGTGCTTTATCTCACAGCCTGAAGAATAAAAATAGCTTTCAAATCGAAGCAAAATGATGTTTTTAGACTTTTTCCTTAAAAAAAATCTATTTGGGGGTTTCTGTTGTAAGAACAGAAACCATATTTCTCTTTATTTTTTTTTTCTTTTTATCAAATGGAATAATGTATTTCTAGTTAGCCGTACTGCACAGTAGTGGCCTTGGGCTTTCCTTGATGTGTCCCTTGTCATCTTCACCACTYGCATGCGCCGGGGGCTCGGGGTGCATGAGCGGCGCCTACACCAGCCTTGCTCCAGGTGCCAKTAAAACTCCCCTGGGACTGAGTCGGGCTTTGCAAGACCACATAGAATTAAGGTCGTAATGAAGAAAGAACACCCAAAATGACGGTTTTTCAGGGGTTGTTTGTTTTGTTATATATATATATATATATGTTGTGTATATATATATATGTTTTGTTATAGATATATGTTGTACAAACACATATATATACATAAATATACATATATAAAGCTCCTGTGGGAGGCTGCGGGGCCCTTCATTGCCCGGCTCCTTGCACAGGCCTTGGCCCTCATTAATGGGGGCCGCTGCGCAGGGCGGGCAGGGCGATACCGAGGCACTGGGACAGGGCCCACGGGTCCTGGACCCAGCAAGGAACAACCTAAGTCCAGAGTGCACCAAGGGGCGCCGCTCGAGAGGAGATGGAGCTAAGGACAGGGCTGGAGACCCTGCTACAGCGTGGCAGCCACGGCCATCTAGGAGACGGGACAAAGACGCAGCTGCAACCTGTGTCCGGGGGTCCAACCAGGAGGCAGACCCAAACATCCACAAGAAGCATTTTTTGTCATTTTATTTTTTATTTTATTTTAAAGCTGTAAGTTACTGAAAGACATGTTATTACTGTCCCAAATCACTCTTAAAAAAAAAAAAAAAAAAAAGACTATTTTAATTGTGCTTTTCAGCCAAGCTACGTTTTGCTGGTGATTCACCCCTGCCTCCACGTAGCCACATCACCAGCTCCTTCACTAGCAGTGTGACTCAGGGGCAGGGGATGCACTGGGAGAGCCTCAAGTCTTRCAGGTCAAGATTAAAGCCCTGCCCACACCGTAAGTAGCTTCAATCAGTGCGATCAGAGTGCTCAGAGATTCCAGGAGCAACTGCAGCAGCTGCTGATGCCACCCAGAGCACGTCTGTATGCTTAAACCACCACCTGGACATTAACGGGAGGTGATCAAAAGAAAGTGTCTGTGGCCGGATGCATGGGGAGGGCTCAGCAGGCAGGGTTAAGGCCCCAGCTTCTCTAGAAGCCTTCTGGGGTTGGGCGCCTCAGGGCCTGGGCAACATCGCCCAGCTGTGAGTGGAGCTGGCTCAGCTTCTAGGTCTGTGATGCCATCTTGTGATCACACCCAGGAAGCGGGATTTGCTGGGCCCTCTCGGTGGACATCCATGGCTTCTCAAAGGGGCTTGGAATGTGTGGTTCCTGTTGGATGGAGAGAAACCCCCAGAGTAGCCCTGCTTAACAAGGTACAGGCTAAGCGAAAGTCTTTCTGATGGAAAAGTCCCCCTGAGTGCTCTGCGCGAGSAAAAATGATTCATTTCCTAAAGGTGCCTCTTGCTAATTCCATTACCAGGCTAAGGCAACCATTTTCTCCATGCTGACGGATGCAGTTGGGGTCCCTCCTTGGATCTGGGGCCCAATTTTCTTTCTCAGTGTGGAAGAACGCASTTTCACCTGTGTGCAGTGGAAGGACCTCTGGTTAACAGTACTCTATGCAAGCAGTAAAGATACTTTTCTTTCCTAGTGGAAACCAGAGCGTTCTGCAACATCAACTTCACTGCAAGCATCCCCAAACATGGCACAACGAAGGGTGCACATTGATGGGTGAGGAGGACTAGCACAGGATTTGTGGGGCTGAAAAAAACCACCACCAAATTCACCACTGGCTGCATCAGCAAATGGGACACCGCCTGCAGGTTAGGCAGCCTTCRTGTCACCCACCTCAGACACACAAGCAAAACTCAGCTTAGAAATAGCAGGAGTCTGCTGACAGCAAGAAGCCCTGGCCTAAAGCAGGTAGGGCACACAKGTGGCCCTGCCATGTTACTCGTTAGGAGGGAGAAACGGTTATTGCATCCCCAGACCCGGTGGGGGGCTCCGAGCCTCCTGCTGCTTACACGAGCTGGGACAGGCACCAAGCACAGCAGGGATCCATTTGAAGGCCTTGGAGAAGCTGGTTTTGCTGCAGGCTTTGTGCTCCAGTGGGAGGTTTCCAGCTTCTCCCAGGAAAGGCTGGACTCCTTTCCCATACTCCTTCCCGTAGCTCCATTGCTCAGGGTGCGGGGATGCAGCCGGAGCTCTCCGGAGCACGCTGAGGAGGCCTGTTGTGGAGAGGCAGCTGGAGCCCCCCTCTTGCCCTAGGCAATCATCTGCTCTTGTGTCTGCCRCCTGCAAGTGCTTTTGGGGTTTTATTTCTTCCAAGGGGGGCAGCTGTTCTTCCTGGATGCAACAGAACCTGCCAGAACAGGTAGGGCAACTCATCAAGCGGACTGTCCCTGCCTTGCTGCAGGGCTGGACTTGTTCTCCCCAAGGCTGGGGGGTCCTCTTGGCTGCTGAGTGGTGGAAAACATCAGGTGAGTTCCCATCTAGTGATGAAGCTGGTGCCTCTCATTAATTTTCCCATTCAGTCCCTCAAGTATCTCAACAATACAGTGGACATCATAGAAAAGGCAGCTCTTCCACAGACCCACCTCACTGCCTGTGGATGGAGGGGATGGTTCTCAGCCCGGTCACCTGAGAGGTGCCCACAAGTGGTCTTCTCATCATGAGACATCTGCAGGGCAAAGACGTTGCCATAGGTGCCCAGAAGAGATCCCTGCAGCACGTGCCAGCAGCAGTGTGGATCACYGCGCCCGTGCTGGAAATCCACGCTTCTGGCCACGGGTTTTGAAAAGCTGCCATGGGTAGAGAGGGTCAGGGAGCAGCAGAGACAGGGGGCACTTGGTGATTTCCCTTCTCGGGATAGCTGTGCCGCTGGCTGAGGGCAGAGGTTCACAAGTGTCATCAGATCTGTGATAGCCCGAGCAGGCTGCACAAGTGACAGCTCCAGGTTAAAAGTTAAGTTAAAACTGATAACTTCCAAACATACACCCTGCCTCTCACAACGAGGCTTCTCCGGGACGAGCAGGGAGAYGCACCAAAATCTTTCTGGAACACCAGATATTGGAGCTGAGCGTATCTCAAAGCCAGGGGCAGCATCTTGTCCCAYGGCAGCACAGACTTCCCTGTGTCCCTGCACAGCTTTCCTGGCTAATTGGCCCTGGAACACTTGTCATGGAGCCGACATTAACATCAGGTTGTTATTTTTCCTCCAGGACACCCTTTTGGCCTGTTGTCACCATAACTCCAGCTTGACAAAGCTAAATACACCCTCATTTTCTCCTGCAGTTGGGCGCTGAGGGGTCTGCAGAGTGCAGCATTGCAGCTGAAATGCAACGGGCTGCGGGGGAATGCTCAACCCCAGAGCTACACAAAGGAGGGCCGGCGCCCGTGGGATTTTCCTCCCACGCTTGGCAGGATGACTGGAATGAAGGCCCCAACCTGGACCATCTGGTCCCATGCTGGAAGCGCTCACACCACCATGGAGCTCTAGTGCTGCAAACATGTCCGTGCAGTGGCCGACCCCGAGGGAAGGTCCATCTCCTGCAGAGTGACACTGCTCACTGTTAAGGCTATATCTATTCCCCATAAATAAACTATATCATTTAATATAATTTAAGGCAGAAGGGACTAGCAATTTCCTCGCCCTGCCCTCCGTGGTGTTCGCGCCGCCCCGAGGGGCGAGGCCGAGGCGGGGCCTGCGGAGCTACCCCGGGGCCCGGCGGCGGCCTGGCCTCTCTCGGTGCCCGCCGCCGTCAGGTGAGGCTGGGCCGGACCCGCCGCCGCCATGAGGGGAGGCCGGGCCGGGCGGGACGCGCCGATGCCGCCGCCATGAGCCGGGGCCGGGCAGGATCCGCTGCCGCCACGAGGCGCGGCGCACTCCGGGCCGCCATGAGGTGAGGCGCGGCCCCGCGGGGCTGGGGGCCCCGGCTATGAAACACCCGAGGTGATATTATTAATAATATTTATTTTTTATTATTATTATTACTGTCTAGGCCCATTAAGTTTTGCGTCGTTGCCGCGCGCGGCGGCCCGCCCGCCATTTTGATCCCGGGCAGGCCGTGGCCCTGGGGAGAGGGCAGCAATTTGTCCCGGCTGTGCCGCTTGGAAGTGATTTCTCAGCACGATAGTCCTTTTCGCTTCCCCTCCCTCCACAAGCCTCATCCTAGCTGTTAGCAATCTAATTATATTAATAAGAGCTTAATTAATTGGGTTTTGGAAGTGATGTGTTCTCTTGTACTCTCTTAAGGGCTTCAGGAGGATGCACAAGTTGAGCATCCATGGAGGGATTGCTGCAGATCGGAGGTCTCGGGGGCCATGAGCTGCCTGGAAGATGAGGCCTTTGCAGGTAACTGCTCTCATTAAAGGGCTTTATTCCTTCTCTTCCAGAAGCTCCTGTGTTTTGCCAGCCGAGGAGGTGCCCAAATGAGGCTCCGAAGGGAAGCGCGTTGCTCTGCTCTGTGCTGTGGGAAGGGTCTCCAGGGCAGAGCGCTGGGGRTGTGAAGTAACAAGCTCTGCCTTGGGGACCTTGAAAGCACTGAAAGTCCTTAAGGTTTCARCGGTGAGTTTTCTACCAGGCAAAATTAGAGAGGGACAAGAAGCAGTAACTTTTTGCAGTATTAAGTAACTAAATTCTGTCTGCTGGCCTATGAATGAAACCTTTCAGTGCTCTGTGGTGGAAAAAAACACCGCAAGTTCCTCTAAGGACGCAGGCAGTGTGTGTAGTTGTTACAAGGAGGTGTTGGTACCCCGGCCCCCATAACCATGGGTGTGTAATTGGGGGTGCTCTACATCCTCCTGTGCTTTCTGCAACTCCAAATATATCTTTTTTTTTTTTTCTTCCATCCAGTGGTAGTCAGCTGCCCATTGCCGCTCAGTGCGGGGGACAGTGTTATGCTGCTGGGAGAGAAACGTGCTGGCAAGTCACGCCTGGCGCCGCTCGTGCTGTCCTAGTGCCAGACGGGGCCAGGTTTTGGCAGCGCTCTGCATGCTTGAGAGTGGAGTAACTCTGTTCCAGTAGAGTTAATCCTAGATTGGATGCAGACAAAAAAAAACCCTGCCTTCTGTTTAATAAGGTCTTGTTCATTTAAAAAAAAAAAAATGTAGGTCAGGTTGTTAACTTGTCAATCTTGCGGGGTAGATTTGGGATCTTTGGGCATATTTCTGTTAACTCTTTATGTATATTTTTTTAATTTTTKTTTTACAGGCAAATTGGTTTGCAGGCCTTGTTGCCAGCAGAGGCTTCCTTTGGACAGCAGCAGTTGACTGAAGAAAAGGAATAAGCTGTYGGTCTTGCTTTGAAGATCTCCATTTGAAAGAGATTTGAGGAGAGGGAAATTTATAATCCATAATTTAAATGGGAGCCTTCTCTAGAAATGTCTAGAGAAGTACCTTTGAGGATATAGTAACTTGAAACAGCAAAGGTCTTTGGGGGCTACATATAAGAAATATTTATGTAATTTATTAGTAGTGTGTTAATTCCTTCCCACTGCTTGTTTGAAATTGTGGAAGCTTTTTTTCTGAACTATTTATTTACTATTTATTAAATTTATATTAAACTTATTTTTAAACTTGCTTATTCTTGTTTTTATTATATCACAAGCCTATCTGGTTGAAATYGAATGTTTTATAAATTTATATTTTGACTGCACTGAAGTCTTCTTGCCCATGGATGCTCTTTCTTTTTTAATGGTATTACATTGACTCCTGCTCTGTGAAGGAGATCAGATGTTTAAAGCTTTCCATGATGAAAGCAAGGTCTGGAATTTGTTACAGCAGAAGTAAGGTTATATATCCCAAAAAAATATCACAAGGTAACCTTTATATGCTGCAGTCTCTGACTTGAAATGATTACCTAATTATCTCCATTACCTGGGCCCTGGAGGAAGTCCACAAAAAACTGGAGGAGCTGGAAAAAACTGCCATACACATGAAATATATTGAAGTTGGTAGGGAGGGTACRAAAGACCATCTTGGCTTCTGACAAAATTCTATCAAATGTTTTAACTCAGAAGTGATTTTTATTGACTGTTCAAGGGAATATATCGCTCTTGCCAAGATGCTCGACCCATTTGGATTTGATACAGTCTTACGGGGAAAAACCCATGTTCTCTGAAAGGTTTGGGAAAGGATCCAAGCTTAGAGGGTAGTGGTTGTTGTTGTTTATTTAAAGCTGAATCTTCTCTTTAATTTTCAGCTTWAAAAATGCAGTCAAATTATATATTAGTTTCTCTACATGTATCCTAGTAGAGATATAATGCTCTATTCAAATTAAACTCTGAAAAGCAGTTGTACTTTTCCAGCATGATGTGCATCAGCAGGAATAATTTCATATTCTAACTAGGCATTTCAGCTATATAATTGGTTCTGTATRTGTAGATTTACAGTACTTAATATTTTTTAGGACTCTCCTGATTTGTAAATGGCCCTGGCATTACTCAGTAGTCTGTAAACCTTCCTGCCCCCTCTGAAAACGTGATCCTTGAATCTGTATTTGACACACTCTTTGCAAAAATATTCATAGAAATATTCAAACAATATTGATGAAAATGCCTTTCCTCAGTGAAGTATATGACATTTATGATTTGACCGGCTCTATATGGCCAAGTCCTACGTGTACATCTAATAAGCTGCTTTCCTCTGGATTTACATTTCGTGCCCAATACCTTTTTCCTGCTTGCAGCATCCTTGCACTGCTTCGGGCGGTGAGCCGCAAGAAGCAGGAGGGAAACTGAATTCTCCTCAAACGAGGATTAAAAGTCACTAAAAAGGAGCGTGCAGCTTAATTTCCTGAGGAGGGTGAAATGCAGTATGTGCCATACTGTCAGTCATAACATATGCTGTATGGACTCCAAGTAGGTTCTGGCTGGTGTGTTTCCTTAAGAACCTGACTGTGATAAAGCTCTAGGATGTTCTTAGAGCTCAACCTGAGTATTGTCTCGGATGGCTTGTGCAAGAGCAAGGCAGTAGCAAGGAATGGAGAAAATCTGTGCTGGGGTAGCCTCAGATCCCTGCTGCTGCTCGTGGCACCAGTTATCATGGGAGACCTTGGTCACCCCGTCTTCCCAGGTCCTCCAGCCTTGTCCATGGAAAAGTAAAGGAGAGTGCAGGAACACCACAACCCCCCCAAGGATCTACAGGAGTGCAGGCTCGTGGACCAAGGGCAAGAAAGAGCTTCCAAAGAATCCCCTGGAGCTCTGCGTGCTGTCTCGGTRGCTGCATTAGTTGAGCAGCCGTGATTGATGCCGAGTGGCTCATTTTGCAGGGCAAATTTAGTCAATAAAGGYCAAAATCCCTGCTGCTTTGGTGCCTTGACCCAGGGGGAGAAAAGGGGATTGAGGGAGAGTCTATGTGGTCTAACAGGAACAAAATACCGAGGTTGAAACAAAGCCAGGAAAATGGAGTAAGGTTTCCTTTTGTATGCAGGGACTGCTAGAGCCATTTATGCATTATTGAATTACTATTAACCATTTGATTAGGGTTTATCAGTTGGTTATTTAGCACTGTGCATTAGGATAACACTGCAGAGATGCTTCCTCTCCTAAAGCTTTGGGAATCTAAATGTATTTTTTACCGGGATTGCTTTACATAAGCTGGCTAGCCTCGCTCTGCAGCACTGCAGCACATGGGGGGGTCGCTAATTCACATTTTTGCATTTGTTTTTGAGGGTTTCATTGATTTTTAYTCTCAGCTTGCTAAGAGCTGCACTTCACGTGATAGCTCCCTGAGCACTTTCATGTTATTTCAAAGGGTGTATTGACCTTCATAAAAAAATAAAATATTAAAAAAGTTTCTGCTTCAATGTGCTTCTCAGTCACATATACTGAAAAAAAAAAAAAAATCCTGGGATGTTTTTAAAGATTTTTTCTTTATCCTTTTCTACGCAGAGAGGGAATCCCCCTCACACCTGCCAAAGGTGCTGGAGATATTGCTTGGCTAGGAAACTGAACTGGGAAGAAAGCTACTGGGCACGAATCGATTGTAAAGCRCAAATCTCCATCTAGTTCTGCAGAATTTGGTCATGAGAGGAAAGGTGAACTTTCCTCGAGCGGGCACAAGGTGGCACCAGAGGCTCGGCTACACGGCAGCGGCTTGGACAGCGCTGCGGGTTGCGTTTTTCGYGTGAGAGTTGTTTTTTTTTCTTTGCCAGAATCTTCTACCGAGCCCAACGGGCGCTGCCGGCCGTTCGCCTCGGGTGTTGTGGCGATGGTGCCTGCTGCGCGGGGCTGAAGAGAGCAGGCGGGGGAGCCATGCGGGCCCGGCCCGGCACGAAGGTACCGGGGGGCCGCCGGGCCCGGGGGAGCCGCGCGTTGCCCTC